AATCGCTAACAAACTCATGCAGACTCCACCTCCGCAACATCGCCAAAATACGTCCATTCCTAACCCCAGAAACTACTAAGCAACTCATCCACTCCCTCATCATATCACGACTCGATTACTGCAACTCCCTCCTCACTGGCCTGCCTCACCTCAGGCTATCCCCACTTCAGTCGATCCTGAATACGGCGGCCAGATTCATCTACCTTACCAACCGCTCCGTTTCTGCCACCCCCCTCTGCCAAACCCTCCACTGGCTTCTGATTGCCCAATGGATCAAATTCAAAATGCTAACACTGACATACAAAGCTGTCCATAACTCTGCCCCAAACTACATCACCGACCTAATATCCAAATACCACCCAAAATGCACTCTCCGCTCCTCCTTCTCTCTAGTTCCCGGGTCTCCTCATCCCATGCCCACCTCCAGGACTTCTCCAGGGCATCACCCATCCTCTGGAACTCCCTACCCAATCCATCAGACTATCACCTACTCTACTCTCCTTTAGGCACACCCTGAAAACCCACCTCTTCAGGGAAACCTACCCTGCCTTCTGCTAATTGCCAATCTCCTCCACTCTTCCACCACTCCATCCCCCACAGCTTTCCCTCCCATACCACTATCCCCTCCCTCCTAGATTGTAAGCTCCAAGGAGCAGGGCCCTCGAACCCCTCGTGTATCACATTGTATTGTTCTTGTACTGTCTCATGTATTGTCTCCTATTGTAATGTACAGCGCTGAGCGAACTGTTGGCGCTATATAAATACTGTATAATAATAATAATGTGATAAGCTTTAGTGAATTATGCCCATAGTGCCAATAAATTTTGGCATGGGATTCCCATTCACATCCCTGTTCAATTTTCTGTTGTATGCTGAACAGGTACACTTGTTTTACATTTGCTTTATTTCTGGGCATGCTAATAGACTCTAATTTGTGGGGTCTGTATACCAGAAGTGATGCACCTAGTGACATACCCAAGGGTTAACGCAGGTGGAAAGGGTATTTGTGCCTGCTAATCAGGTGCAATCACTTTCTCAGACCAAATGAATGACAATGGTGGGTGTGGCCTTAATTGGGCATGGGGCCTTGTTTGGCATGCTCCAAATCCAACCTATGTTATATAAAGGGGGATACAGTAGCCAGGTTGGCTTGTCCTCTTAATAGGCCAGGTTATTTTCAGCAAGTCCTTGCCTGTGGTGGTTTTGGGGGAGGAGAAAGAGATATTGTGCCTAATTGCCCAGACCCCACTAAGGCTGTGTTTTGATGTGGGCTGTAAATGTTTTGCATTTTGTCCTTCTAAAGTGTGTTTTGTGTGTTATAAATGTCAATTGCTCTGCTTTCACAACTCCTAACTTGGATAGAATTTGCTTGCTTATTTAGACCGAAATGCAGCTTTATGCCAAACATAATCATAAATGTATGTGGGGGGGACTTGGGGAGGTGGGAGGTGTTGGTTGTGATATTTGCACTTTATTAAGCTGTTTTATTTATTTTGATCTCGGGACTGTTTTGTGGATAGATAATCCTGCATCTGAACAATTGATGGTGTGTGCTAAGTTTATGGCCTTGAAAATGTTGTCCGATTTATATTATCCATTTGTTTGCTGCTGTACCCTGTTAAAGTGCTGTTCATTATACGGTGTGATCTTTTAGATTGTAAACTCTTATGAGCAGGGCCGTTCTATTTTAGCAACATAAATCCTACTGGTTTCTTTACCCAAAGAAATTGAATGTTACTACTTGCTGTCAAATAAATGTTGACTATGTATTGCATCAATAAATCTTTGCACTATGTATTGTTTTAATTTTTTGTTGTTTGTATGTTCTAGTTGAATGCATTCACACATAGTATGCACAAATATTTAGAAGCACATATGAAAGTATTTGTAAAATACCCAACCAAAAGCACCCTAATGCACCACCAGACTGAATGTTCTGCAACAATGAATGCAGCCGATGGATAAGTAGTGTTCAATGTGCAGCTAGCCATTATTTTGAAACAATCCTCCTAACAGTAATAATTTGGGACTTAAATGTGTGTTGCCTTGAAAAAAAAAGTCCCCTCCCCCACACCCCCGAACCATACCACATGCCCTCAACATGGAGGGGGACAAGGGCCTCTTCCCCACAATCCTGGGCTGTGGTTGTGGGGGTCTGCGGGCAAGGGGCTTATCGGAATTTGGAAACCCCCCTTTAGCAAGGGGCCCCCCAGGTCCCACCCCCCCCCCATGTGAATGAGTATGGGCTACCCATTCACGAAAAAAAAATTGTACTGGGAAAAATACAGGAGTCAGGCTTTGATTAAATGATGTCCCCAAAGTAGATCCAACGTCAATCAAGTTGCCCGCCAACCGAAAAAAAAAAGGCTCCGCTTCGGACGCTGGCTCCCGCCATCTGACTGATCCACTGGCTTGAGAGTTCTTAAATATGTAAGGGACAGGGCCACCCGGTGACATCACCCACGTGACCCTGCCCCTGTGTGACATCAACAGGAGCAAGCTGGGTCAATGATGTCACATACGTGATGGCCCCGCCCTTTACATATTTAAGAACTGTCAAGCAAGCAGAGCAGTCAGACTGCCGGGAGCCAGCGTAAGGAGCAGTCTTTTTTTTTTTTTTTTCTTTTTTTGGGTTGGCGGAGTCGGGCATTGTGATTGACATTGGATCAGGGGCGGACTGATCATTCGAGCATTTACAGGAGTGGTCCTGCTTGCGGTTCAAGCTGGGAGAAAGCCACCTTCATGTCCTCCACTTGCCTTCATTTGTGGACAGTGGATATTTTGTGGCGCCAGGCAAGAACTGACATCAAGGACCTGCTTAAACATCCTGGCATGCCAGAGGTGGTTTGGAAGCAGCATAGCAACTTGTCCATCCCTTTCCTCTTTGCTGCTTTTGGGAGTGCATAATTGCTTCTCATTCCTGAACAAACTTGCAACGGATATTGCAGTCCCCATATTTTCCCGATGTGGTTGAGCCGGGTGTTGTCAAAGAGCGGAGCCTGGTTTTGGTTTTCCAACCAATTGGGAGCTTGCATGCATGTGTTCACATCAGGCCATGTATTTGCCTTTTTTTGTGTGGAATAAAACGATTTTAGTTCCTAAAAAAAGTGTCATATCCTCTTGATTCTATTTCCTAGACTTAAAATGGCCAGATAATATGCAATCTGGTGAAAACTGCAATTTTCTTTACATGTAGCTAACGTCTGTAACAGGAGGACCTACCAGAACAATGCTTTCATTTAGAATGGGCCAGGCCCATACAGTACATAACTGAGATTTTCTATGAAGGGAACATTCACCTTTGGATACTTGACCTCATGTGGTTTGGGTCCAAATATTTCTGGCCATTGCAACGTATTGACTAATGCAGCTCAACATAGATCAGGCATAAATAAAAGTGTACCTTGTCCATAGAATAGCCACTGGGAGGTCCTATCTGGGCACACAGATCTGGCCTATGCATAATTGGGTACATTCTGGAAAATGAGAATTTGAGATGCTTTATATACTAAGGGGTTAGTTCATGCTTACTTCAGGGGAAGCATTACTAATAATCGTTGTATGTTCAGTGGAAAACGTGTCTGATTCCTAAATGCATTGAGGTACACATCAGGGGTTCAAGGTATTCTATAGAAGAAGTTATTGTTCTTCCTTACTATACAGATGGCACAGACACAAGCACACACCAGTCAGCTCTTCTACTCCCTCTCCACTTTCTAGGCAGTAGCCAAAGTCTTAATTGATTATTATTTCTGGGACTGATAGAGCCCCAGAAATTGATCTCCATATTTTGGGCCTTCACAATAGTCTGTAACATCAAGGAGCTTACAATCTAAGGCCACAAATTCATACATATACTAGGCTCAATTAACCTAACAGCATGTCTTTGGAGTGTTGGAAGAACACACCCGAACAGAGAAAGCATGCAAACTCCAGACAGGTGCTGCCATGACTGGGATTAGAACCCATGACCCAAATGCTGCAAGCCATGAGTGCTAACTACTAAGCCACTGTAACAGACAGTTTGAGCTGGAATGTAGAATAGTAACATGATTAAAGAGAATGAAGATATATAATTAGACTGGGAAATTAGAACTGGACATTAAAATTATTTGGGTATAAGTTTGAAAATGTTTGATATTCGAAAATAGGATGTATGACGTTGTAACATTCATTAGGAAATGCATTAGTTGGGCGATCATTTTTGGAGAAAAAAAAGGCAAGAAAGTTAATAGAGGCAACAATAATCGCAGCAAACACACAAAAATATATAAAAAGTTATTAAAACAAGCACACCTGAGAGTTTTCTCATCTGGCATACAAATAAACACGAACGGGACAAAGCCCGTGCTTGTGCGCCACCTAGACACCATATCCGGCATTGCTCCTACAATTGCGTCTACTCTGGTCAGCGATTTACAAAGAGAATTCACTCTACCTGAAAGACGTTTTTTCATTGACCACTGAAACGTCTTGATTGATTTAATTGGGTCCGGCTGAATGTTCGGTGTCTGCTGTTGGACGTTATTCTTAGTAAATCAGGGCCACCTGGGGGATCAAGAAGGATTTTTCCCCCATTGGAACAAGATTGAAATATGCTTTATTGGGGGGGGTTTACCTTCCTCTGGTTCAGTTGTGGGTAAAGTTTTCTATGTGTTTGTTTTTATCTATTGGTTGAAGTACATAGGCTTGAGTCTTTTTTCAACCTCATTATGTAACTATGTTATATGTCAGATCTTTAAAGTATTACTAAACCCAGGACCCTGCATTCACTATATCTGGTCTACCACAGTACACAGAACATGGAAGTGCAATTATTTTAGTAAATATAAACTGCTAAATACCTTTTCTCATCAGCAGTTAGAGCAGTCTTGTGACTTCTATCAGTGTCCAGCCAAGCACTGGTTAAAGCTTGTAGGAGGTGTTTATTTCTGCTCTAGGAGGATGCAGATTCCTGACCTCTGTCTGGACAGTGCCGACTGGCCCTGTGCTGATCACATGCACTCTCCCAAGAACAAAAAAAAAAAAACCTATCTAGAAATACACACCAAACTGAGCATGTGCAGAGTGTCTCCACACGATATGTCTTATCAGGAGATAAGAGGGGGACACTAGAAGAAGGTGAGTATCGGAGAAGACAGGACCAAACAGCGTTTTTTACACAATGCAGAGGATTAATCCCTTAGGTTCCACTATGAGTATAAGAAGCATGCTTTACTGCATATACTGACTGGTTTTACTGTTGTGGGTTTAGTAACACTTTAAGTCCTCTGTGTTGCTCAAGTACAGCTTTACAAGAGAGACATATAGAATTATTTACAAGTAAGTTCCCACTTTCCTAAATGAGAGAAATTAAGTCCTTTTCGGATATGTGCTGAAATGAATTGCATGAAAAATGTGTTGTGTAAAGGAGTTTTTACTGTACTTCACAATGATGAATGGTTTATTTTGTCCCACCTAAACATAATCTGACTATTAAGGATGAGGTTCTAGTTTGCCACTACCATGGGTTTGAGGCAAATCCTGCAGATTCTAAATTTGTATCGCTGGCAAATTTAAGTGGAGATTTGCTGAGGAGTTTTTATTTAAATATAATGCACTACATGGTCAAAAAGGGGGCTCACTATAAATTGTTGTGTTTTCCCGTTGAGATGTACGTGGCCATACTTAGACAAAGCTGAATACGTCTTAACCAGGGGCGGACTGACCATTTGGAAACTTGGGCACTGCCCGACGGCCCGGGGGGCAGTAGGGGGCCCCATGAGATGCCCCTGGTACCTTTTTTCATGGGCTTTTTTGAGTCTGGGCAAGGACACAGGGGCCCCATGATCCCCTATTGCTCGGGGGCCCCATGAGTTGTCAGTCCGCCCCTGGTCTTAACAGTGAAACTTGTTGACATCAGCAATTTCTGAAATTGGACATCACACTGGGCAGGCCCCCTGAAGTCACAGGGAAATGCAGAATTTCTTGAAGTTAGTGGTGTAGACCACAAGTTATACTGAGTGGCTTTCAAGGAGAGCATTTGGTTCTCCTTCATTGCGCTTCACATGTTCTGTGAAAGACATTACCATTTGCCACCCAACTACCTACCTGTATATTGTTGGGTTTTGCGTGGTTATACCGGGACCATGGCCCCTCCCCTCATTCTGTCTTCTGCCTCCTTCCCGCACTCTCCCATCCCCCCAGGAAGCCTAGGACTGAAGCAGGAAGTTCCATCGACTGACCGTAAAGATGACCAAGGACCAGAACATCCATGATCATTTTCTATGGTCAAAGAAACAACTAGCAACAAGGTTTCTGGTTTAATAAACCCGTTCCCAGTACTAGGAGGAGTGGGGATCGTGAATTGCATCTTAAGCGGTGCAAAGAACAATAGATATAACGTCTCAAAAACCAGGGCCTGAAATTAATTCTTGATTTGCATTAATGTCCTTGAATGGCCTTGTGTTTAATTTGGTTGTCAATAATCTCTTAATCTTCAGGTTTACTATGGGAAAAATAGTTACTGTCCTGAATTGTGTTATATATTCAGAATATTTGGGGGTCTTTTTATGTATCTCTCATCAACAGGAAAGGAACTCTGTTGCATTGTCTCCTGTGTCTTTGTTAATATTGCTTAAGTAGCAACTTACATTATGTTTGCTTCCTGATTGTTTATCTCATCATTCTTAATACTTTGGAATCATATGTGTCTCCTGGTTTTTGTCTGATGAAACCTAAAACTGTAGGTCACTATGAAATAATGGCAGAGATTTAGCCAAACTGTGCACACAGAAACTGGTGCAGCTGTGCATAGTAACCAATCAGCTTCTGACTTCTGCTTGTTCAATAAAGCTTTAACAATGAAAACCTAGAAGCTGATTGGTTACTATGCACCAGATATTGTGTGTGCCAGTTTTAGTAAATCACCCCCATTTTGAACTTGCTAAAATAAAACAATGGGTGTTGATTTACTAAAAGTGGAGAGTGCAAAATGAGGTGCAGCTGTGCATAGTAGCCAATCAGCTTCTAACTTCCGCTTGTTCAATTCAGCTTTGACAATAAAACCTGGAGGCTGATTGGTTTCTATGCACAGCTGCACCACATTTTGCACTCTCCACTTTTAGTAAATCTCCCCCATTGAGTGCTGCAACCTGTGAACTGACTCTGTCTATGTGTGTTTATATACAGTATATATATATATATAAACAGATCAGTAATAACTTTATGATGACCCACGAATATAGAGTAGGTCCACCTTTTGCTGCCAAAACAGCCCTAACCCGTCAAGGCATGTATGCCACTAGGCCTCCAAAAGTATGCTGTGTGATCTGGCACCAAGCTATAAGTAGCAGACCCTTTAACCTCCCTAGCGGTCTGATTATGTCCATATTTCTGTGCTCAAAGCGGTACTTTTTTTTGCATGGAAATATGATTTTTTTTTAATGTAGGCCTGTAATTTTTAGGAATAACTCACTGAAATCTGTCCGAACAAGAGTCTAGTAAACATCATGGGTATGTTAAAATTTAAAACACGAAATCATAAATTATAATTTAATAAATAATCATAATAAATAATAATATAATAATAATAAATTTAATTCAATAATATAATCAAACCAAAAACACTGAAATTTGAAATAGAGCGCCAAGTTCGCACATCACTGAGCAAAGTCGCAAAATAGTTTTCAGTGTCTGATGACGAATTTCCCCACAAATCATTATCACTCAATTCTGCAAGTGGTTCTGATTTACTATCGCTGTTCTCTAGCTGGTCTAAAACCACTTTTGACCTAAAGGGACGCTTTTTTTGGACGCCATGGACGTTTCTCAGTTTCCAGGCAGAAAGAACAGTAAAAATGCCGGCAGGGCACAGGACAAAGCACTCGGGACAAAATGTATGTGAAATGGTTTGATACAGTAATGTTATACTATGTGATTTTAGTGTATTTAGTGAATGTCACTTTTTGTCATTTTCAAATTTTCCGCCGTTCCATCCCCCGTACGTCCCGACGCTCGCAGGGGACAGAACCCAGATGACAGATGCCGGCATCCACCGGAGGACATTGCTGGGGACACTGCAGGAGGGACATCGCGGGGAGCGCAGGACAAGGTAAGTGAAGAACAGATCCCGGAGCAGTGCCCATGGTAAGCCCGAGTGTAGCTCGGGGTTACTGCTTGCACCCTGACCGGTCTGCAGCTGCACAGGTACATACACAACAAACTGTGATGCCCAGTCTTTATGCTTTCAACACATTAACTTCAGGGACAACATTGTAAAAAATTGATTTTTTAGCTGCTGTCTAAAATATCCTACCAATGTCCAGATGCCATTGTAACAAGATAATGAATATTATTTACTTGACCTGTCAGCGCTGATCAGTGATCAGTGTATATTGTGACAGTGCTGTACCCTACCACTGGGTTAGAAGAAAGAGAAATATCACAGAAGGTTCTCACAAATGAAGTGTGAGAATCTCCAGATGTCGGTTTTGCGCCGTGAAAATAATTTTTTCCATTTTCTCCAGGACTGATAATTCCCAGATTGGGTTCTGGAGTCTGGAAACTTCGAAGAGCCTGAGTGTGCAGGTGAGCACAGACTTTATAATCAAGGGATTGTCTGCAGTTCAGGGCTTCACCTGGGAGACAGAAGGTCTCCTGCATGGAGGCCAGGGTGTAGGCTAGTACAATAGGGAGCTGTGAGAGAGCAAAGAGAGTTGCTAGAGAGGCTGATTTTGGGGAGATGGTCTAGAGGACTAGACAGGGGCCACAGTGTGTGGGCCAGAACAGCAGTGCTGCAGGAGTAGGCTGGGAAGTTGAATGAAACATCTATGTTAATGTGTAGCCTTGAAAGAGGAATGCTGAACACTTCTGCAAGGGTAAACTTTTCATTGGGTTGGACTTGAATCAACAAGCCCTGAACCATATTTCCCAGATGGAGTGGACTTAATTTCAAATGCAGTACCATTAAGCATAACCCCCAAATATCACAATATACACACAAGCAAATGCACACTTAGTATATGATGCTAGGGGAGGAAACCTATGGTATACAATATACACTTGACGTTTGGGTGAGACAATATATCCATTACAAAATGCTGTGGGGAGATACATAATATAAAGAAACAGATTTCCATCTTTTGTTATTCAGAAATAGCTTTTCAGTTCCGGTTTGAATTTCACATATTACCTATATGTAAAAGTTCTTAAGTAAATATAGCCTGTTGTGACTTCTTTACCTGGGGTTATAGAAATGAAACATTTTTTTCACTCGTGCATAAAATGTACTGCGCTAAAAATTAATTAACTTACTGTATAAATGTGTTAGAAACAATTGAGTACTGTCCGTGATACTTTTTTTATTTGCACTAACATACAATTTTGAGGACAAGCTTTCGGGGTATGTCCCCTTCTTCAAAGTCCAAGCAGTACTATTACAAATCACAAAGTTTAACTTAAACTTTTTTTTTTTTTTGCACGTTATACATTGCTTAATACCATAGGATTTCCCGGTTGACGTTGAGACAAACTCGTCAATTTTCCTTTTACGGGTATTGTCACACCTACATATAATACATTTGTTACACGGGTAAAATCCCTTTATATCCCCGAAGAAAGAAGTTTTCACAGGGGGATTCACAACATTCAGTGCAATACGGTTTCTCATAGCTGGAGCCCTCCTAAACATAATCTCAGGCTTGTTGGGTAATATTTGTGAAAGGACTGGGTCCATCTTCAAAATATCCCAGTTCTTCTTTATAAGTTTTCCTACCTGTTTATACTGCACTGAGAACGTTGTTACAAAGGGACATATTTTCTCATTTTTTCTTTGTGGTTTATGTGAAAGCATCTCCTTTCTGTCCAGGCCCGCAACCTTTGTCAAGGACTCATCAAGCTCAAGTTCTTTATATCCTTTCTCAAGGAATCTGTTCTTAAGGATATTAGCTTGAGACCAATACGTCCCTAGATCCGTGCAATTTTCGTCTAATCCGAGTGAATTGGCCCTTCGGTATGTTACTAAGCCAATTCGGATGGTGACAGCTACTCACAGGGATATAGCTGTTACGGTCGGATACCTTAAAGAAGGACTCAGTTACTATCCTCCCATTATCTTTCTTAAGTGTAAGGTCCAAAAAATCGATCTGGTGTCGACTGTAGGTATAGGTCAGGTGGATATTTAAGGTGTTGTTATTCAATGTCGTGAAAAAGTTATTAAGTGCACTTTCCTCTCCATTCCAGAGGAGGAGGATGTCATCAATATATCGCTTGTACAAAACCAGTTCAGGCCAATCTCTGGCATAGATGACATCCTCCTCCCATCTGGACATGAAGAGATTGGCAAGGCTGGGGGCAAACTTTGCCCCCATTGCGACACCCTTAATCTGCAGGTAGAAAGTCTGATGATATGTTTATTGTGTCAACTTCATTCAGGACCTGCTTGGTGTCTCTAAGGTATGAAGGAGTTTCAGCGACCAATGGTTGCAGGTGGAAGTCGATATATTCCCCAATCCTAGATAGTAATGACCCTATCCCACTGATTATGGGTCGGCCTGGAGGGTGTACCGGGTCTTTGTGTACCTTTGGAAGGATGTACAATATAGGAAGGCATGCACATATCTGATTTTATTGTGACTAAAGACTTGATGAACTATTTTAAATCATGTTGTTTTGAATCACATCACAGCGCTGCACTATATGTATACTATGTTTCTGTTGTGAGGTCCGATGATTCCTTGACGTGTTCCAGCTGCTGATTTC